CAATATAGATTTCCTTAAACAAAAGTGTATTTGTAAAGGAAAAGTTGTATATAAATAATGGGATTATTAATTTAAGGGCTAACTATTGCTTTTGAGAGAAGATCTATGGCGCTTGGGTGTGGCGTAGCTATGCTTGGTGATCAGCTGTGGATGAATAAAGGAGTGAAGATGGACCTCACATGGGCAGCAAACGAATCGCGCAAAGAGAGAGCCTGGTATTTGCAAGAGGAAGAGCTCCTCTACAAGCTCTTTGGCGAAGTGGAGTCGCGAGTAGCTAATGATGACGAGGAAGGCTGGGAGCGCGTTTCTGGGAGTGGAAAGACGAGTTCCATGGACGAGGAGTTCATGCGAGAAGAGGAGGAGCTTTCCTCGCTCTTTGAGGAAGTGGCCTGGAAGGCAAACCATGAAGTGGGCGATGAAGAAGAAAACTCAACGATCCTAAGAGAGGTGATGGAGTTGCTTGGTCTCACAACCAAAAGGATTTCCAAACTGTAAATCTCATCTAACAGGTATATTGAAATGCTTTCTACAAGTAACTTCCTACACACGACATTTCTCAAGCAAATGCCTCGATAAGACACCGTAGAATTGTATTTTTCTCGAGAGTGATTTCCTAGAAACATAATGTGTTCGTAGTGATCTGTTTGTAATCCAGTAAATCCAGCTTAGTCCAAAGAAAACTTTCAAGAGCAAATTTCTTTCTCTAGACTCACATGATTATCAACAGTGGCGATTTTGATCGCGTTCCTCAAAGAGAACGCTGAGAACTTACTGGATCATCTGGGTTCTCTGTGAATGCAACCAGAAATTCCTGCAGAGAGGAAAGATTTCTCACAAAGGAAATGTACTAAACTTTTACTTTATACCCTCGAAAGATCGTCTCGGATCGCTGGAGGCAAAGCGCGTGAGTGTTTGTCCATCCTTCTACCAATCACAGTGACAGTTCTTCAGCAGCGCTTCAAAGTCCCGGTGTCTTTGTCACGGTCTCGGCGCTCAAGGCGTGCAGCAGCACCGGCCGGGACCTCGAGGCCACGAAGCTCATTCACGCCGCTTCCATCCGAGATGGCAGCCACACAGACGTCTTCATGGCCAGCACCGCCATCAGCTTGTACTCGCGATGAGGCTCGCCTCGTCTTCGATTCCATTCTTGACTGCTGCTACGCCTCATGCTCGGCTACACGGACAGGGAGAGCTCGCCCTCGACCTCTTCTCGAGGCCGCGACGCTGGTGCAAGCTTTGAGAGCGGCCACAAAGGTTCCCGGGTCAAGTGGCAGGCTGTAGTCGGACTCCATCTTCGAGCAACCTATACTCGGGCCCGAGAACAAGTTGGTGGTGAAGTTCAGGAGCCTCGCATGGGGCATGGAAATCCACTCCTGAGCTGTGACTTCCAGCTGTGAGTTCCTTGGCTTCGTCATGAACAGCTACACTGACCATCCGAGCACTGCCACACTTAGCTGTTCATGAAGAAGCCAAGGAACTCACAGCTAAGTGTGGCAGTGCTCGGATGGTCTTCGACAAGATGGCGGGGCGGACTGTGGTGTCGTGGAACTCGTTGATTCTCGCTACGCAGAGAGAGGCGAGGAAGAGCTCGCTCTGGAACATTTCTGGTCCATGGAAGCTCAGGGCGTCTCCCCGGATGATAGAAGCTTCATGGCCGTTCTCAAAGCGTGTACCAAGGACACCGGCCAGGAGATCCACGACAGGCTCGTCAAAGTGTGGCTGCGGCATGGCCTTGCACTTGAAAGCTACTCGAAGTGGCTTCGACGGTAACTTGTTCGTTGCCAGCTCCCTTGGTCGACAGGTACTCCGAGTGTGACAGCATGCTCATACTTTTGGCCAGCCCTCACGCTCGGCTACGTTGAAAACGGTGACGAGAGGCTGCCTCTGGAAGTCTTCGACCACTTGCAAGATCAGGAGGCCTACTCCATCGCCAACTCCCTCACCTTCGTGGCTGCTCAAGGCCTGCATTGAACCGGATCTAGAACTCGGATGGAAGGCTTGTAAAGCTAGAATCGCTGTCCAGGGGCAAACGCATCCACGCACAAGCTGTAAGCTGCCGCTGCGACTCGGATACCATGGTGGCCAGCACGCTGGTGGACATGTACGCCAGGTGCAGTACCCTGGTCGATGCCAGGAGGGTCTTCGACTGCATGCCTTGTAGAACACTGATGTCGTTAAACGTCCTGTTGCTCGGCTACGCAGAGAATAACGAGGTCGTGCTCGGCCTCGACTTGTTCTCTCAGCTGATGGCTGGCAGTGACGCACCGGATGCTCGATCTTTTGTCACACCTCTCAAGGCCTGCGCTCTCGTCGTGGTAAAAGAGGATGGGCATAAAGTCGATGGCAAGCTTGTTAAAGTGAAGGCGATGGAAGCAGGAATGGCAACTCCCAGGCCAGATTTGACACGGACGTGTTCGTAGCCAGCACGCTCGTAGACATGTATGCCAAGTGTGGAAGCTTGCTGGACTCGCAGGGCCTTCGACAAAATCCCAGCTCAAGCCCTTCTCTGGACGTCGCTTATCCTCGGCTACTCAGAGGATGACGAGCCCCAGCTGACACTGGAGCTCTTCTCGCAAATGCGGCACTTCCAGATCCTCCCAAACGCCCAGACTTTCATGGGCGTGCACAAAGTTGGCGGTGTTAGAACAAAGTAGTGAAGTCGAGATCAATGCTGGAAAGGTGGCAGTGGTGAAGTTGAAAGCTCTAGAGATTCGCCATGACATCCATGCTCATGCCTCTAGAGCTGTAAGTGAATTGTCATTTTCAACCTCACCATTGATAAGTACTCCACAGTGGCTCCATGGACGGTGAGTGTTTGACACCATGGTTTCTCGCCATGGTTTCCTGGACAGCCCTGATGCTTGGCTACACCGAGAACTCCCAGCCGCAGCTCGTCTCTCAAGCTGCTACCCAACGAACGGTTCCCAAATGCTCGAGCGTACGTGCCAGTTGGGAGTTTCAAATGCCAGATGGGCAATTTAAAAATAAACACTAGACTGCTCTCAAATCCTAGCTCCGCGCTGGATGTGGAGCTTGGCCAAAAGATCCACAGCGAGCTCTCCAGATTCGGCCTTGAAAGCGATCCAGTGGCGACAATTCTCCCGTCAATCTCTCCGGAAAGGCTGGAAGAATTCTCAATTGTTTGACATGGTTCCTTCTTCCAGCAGCATCATCACTTGGAATACTGGTCACCGGCTATGGCAGGCAAAGGGATGTGAAACGCGTCTTGGATCTCTACCACTAGCGATGGTCCAAATCCCCATGATTTGTGTTCTTGGCGCTTGCAGCCACGGCAGCGGCAAAATATTTCCAGGCGATGCTGGATTCGTCAGTGATCCCGTCCATCGAGCACTACCACTGCATGATCGATCTCCTTGGGCGCTGCATTGGAGATGATCGCATCGATGCCCTTCCGGCCGAGCGCAATTACCTAGCCTGCTTGGCTCGCTCGCAATCGCCACAGCGCTCTCGCGTTGTCACTGATGTTCTTCCGGTACTTCCGCTTGGATTCCTGCGCGAAGAAGTTCACTATCCTGTTGTCAAAGTCCTCGCCACCCAAGTGCGTGGCCTTCACCTCGAACACCCCCTGGTCGATCGTGAAGATCGAAACATCGGAAGTTCCACCGCCCAAGTCGAAGATCAAGATGTTCTTCTCGCCGGTGCTCGACGCCTTCTTGTCCAGGCCATAGGCGATGGCCGGTGAGCTCGTTGATGATCATCAGCACATTCAAACCCGCAATGGCTCCAGCGTCCTTCATTGAAGTAGGCCGGGACCGTCAGCTTGATGCATCCTTGACGCTCTTGCCCATCTCCTTCATCTTGGTGAGAACCATGGAGGAGATCTCCTCGGCTGAGAATTGCTTCTGCTCGTTCTTGTAAGTCACCACGCTCATGGGCTTGTCGCTCGGCCCCGCGATCACCTTGAAGGGCCACAGGGAACGGATGGATCGCTGAATTTCCTGCCGATGAGCCGAAGACGGTGTTGGAGGGATTGAGCGCGACCTGGTTCTTGACGGCATCGCTGATGAGCCGCTCCGTGTCCGTGAAGCTGGTTGCCCTGTGATCTCCACTTGATCGCTGCCAAACCCCGACGCTCGACGTCGTGCCTAGATCGATCCCGACTGCTGACATTGCGCGCTGTGATCTTCGCGCTAAATCGGGTGCTCTAGCTAAGAATTACTTTCTTCCCACCGATGGATCGAATAAATTCCTAACATATCCTACGTGATTAAATTCAAATTTTCTAATTAAGTATTCATTGTCGGCTCTCACCGAAAGACCCGGGTTCAATTCCCGGCAACGGAATTTACAGGCTATCATAGTCATAAAAGGTCGACTCGTTTCTGATAAAGTCCTAATTGTTACTTGAAAGGCCAGTTTTGGCAATTGTATCGATCTATTTTGTTTAACATTGACAGGACTGCGTGTAGAGAAGGATTACTTTGCTCGTCAATATCTATCAATGTATTCTGGGAAATTCGTTGGATCTTCTTCATGAAGCAAATCATGCGGTGAGCGTGGATCGAACACGCGACCTTCAGATCTTCAGTCTGACGCTCTCCCAACTGAGCTATCCCCGCTTAATCTAAATTATTTAAGATATCTTTAATGAAAACTTACCTTTAAACTAATGGCCTAAACCCTAAGCCCTAAGGACAGGGACTTCCACTGAATGATTCCAGGAAGTGATGGAAGCAGCGGCGGCGGGAGGACGCGCGCTGGTAGTTCTTCCTTCCCGATCTCCATTCCAGGAATCTAGATTTGCATTCCCTGCTCGATGCGCTCCAATTCCAATCGCGCAGCGGCATTTCTTTCCTCCTCCGCGGAGCTGGGATTCCCAATGCCGTCGCCCTCTGCTTAGGTTTTCCTGCTGCCTCAGAGAAGCACAAGGCGATCCCGCGACGAGGAGGAAGCGCCTGGCTGTTTTCGTGTCCGGCAGCGGATCAAACTTTCGGAGCATTCACAAGGCGACGATCGATGGCACTGTTCTTGGGGATGTGGTGATCGTTGTCTCGGACAAGCCAGGTTAGTTCTTGGTTTTTTCCATGGCTAGAATCCATAGCAATCCAGCTAGAGTTTTTTCATTCTTTTGTCCTGGATTTAGAATGCAAGGCTTGCGAGTACGCTCGAGAGCACGGGATTTCGGTGGCGTACTATCCGAGAACAAAGTTCGCTCCAGATGGAGTCTCTCCAAACGAGCTCGTGGAAATTCTCAGGTTGGCTTTATGCTTTTCTTTTGCTAAAAGAGTTTACGTGTGATCGATCTTTCGCAGGCATCAAAGAGTGGATTTCGTGCTGCTGGCTGGCTACTTAAAGTTGATACCAAAAGAGCTCGTGGAAGCGTTTCCTCGAGCGATCCTCAACATCCACCCCGCGCTCCTCCCGGCATTTGGAGGCAAAGGTTTCTATGGAATCAAAGTCCACGAGGCTGTCATCGCTTCCGGCGCTCGGTAACTTCCACCTTTCATCGTTCTCTTGCTCTAAATTCTTGCAACTTTTAACAGTGTCTCGGGCCCAACGATCCATTTCGTGGATGAGAAGTATGATCACGGGAGTATTCTTGCGCAGCGAACAGTTCCTGTTCTAGAGACGGACACGCCGCAAGACTTGGCAGCCAGAGTGCTGGAACAAGTACGTGGTTTGATTGTTCTTTAGTTACGATTGGTTTTTGGATGGGATTTGCTACCGACAGGAGCACGCACTGTATGTGGAAGCTGTGGCTGCTCTCTGCGAAGAAAGGATTGAATGGAGTGGCGATGGAGTCCCTCGCATGCGCGAAAAGGAGCTAGCTTAACTGTGAGGTATTTCGATCTTTCTATATACCATTTTCCAGAGAAAACATATAATTTACAGGCAAATCATCTCACTCATGGGTTTTGTCCCTGTTCCTCATCCCGGATTCTTTGTTCTGGAGTAGAATTTCGTGCTCGTAACAACGCCAACGCCAAAGACAATGCAATGCCCAGAAGACCAGCCATTGTTATCGAAAGCAATGCCTCGATATGTAGCTGCAAAAACAAAACATAAATTTCATAAAGATGGTTAAGGACTCCACCATTTGGTAGAATAAGTGTGCGAGCGATATCACAAGCCCAATTTGAGTTGCCGAAAGAAGCCATATAAACTTTTGTTCCACTGGAAAATAATTAAAATATAAGAAAATTGAGGAAAAAAAAAAGGACCAAATTACCAAATACAGTCCCTGTAATGGACGTGGTAATTCCAAATAATAGTCCAAAAGGCAGTGCCAAGATCAGTGCCTGATTACCGTTCTGCTTGATCTGCATATAAAACTTCATGAGTTGAATCAAAATCTTCTCATGTACCAGCATTTGTTCCAGGAAGCAGAAGTAAGTCACGCTAGCGATTATGCTAATCCAGAGCCTGCAGCGTAAGAAGTCAAGCAAGCAAACCAAAAAAAAAATTTTTACATCACCTCCACTCAAGCATGCTAAAGCTAAGCCCTTGATGATCAAGTTGCTGGTTTAAACTTTGAGTAGCGTTTTCGAGCCGGAGTGTGACCGGAAGGTTGACAACTTCCTGGCCGCAAACATCACACTGTCGATTCCCTCGAATGCCAAACCACTTGAGAGCGCAATCTTGATGGGCCAGTGCCAGGCCGCCTTTGCAGGAACACTCGAGCCTGAGAGTGGAGCTTGTCTCTTGGGTGAGATCACAGAGGCAAATTCTACAAGATAGATCCTCCTCCGAGGATAGCTCGTCGTGATCATCTCCTAGATTTACACACGTGTTCTCAGTTCTCATGAGCATTTGGAGAAACATCAAGATTGCGATGTTTTACCTTGCTTTGGACGAGGAGTCACAGGTTTTACCAAATAAGTTCCGGAATACAGCCTTGTTAACTCCTTCTTCGTGTGTTCTTCCATTGGGCCGGAGATAGAACGCTGCACAACTTTCTTCTCATGCTGAAAGATCTAGCACCAACTTGTAGGTGAAGAACAAAGGAAGGAAAATTAGAAAGACCTTCGATCCAAGTGAGACCGATTGAGAGTTGTATTTCTTACTCCAGCTGGGAGTTCTTGGAAGCATTCTCTTGGGATCATTGTCTGGTGGTGGTACCTCAAGCCTCAACCTTGGCCGAATTCGTGTTGTGTCCTTGGCATCCATCTAATAACAACAACATGATCACAAAAAAACCGAAGACAAGGGAGAGACCATACCTCAACTTGTGGAGATTGATCCTCAGCTCACCCGTTAACTCGATCCAGCGTTGGCAGCCGTCGGATTAAGTCAGGTTCTCTGCGAGCTGACAACTGCCAAGTTGTGGAGAACCAGGCTACCAGCTGCCAGGTTGTGGAGAACCAGCTGCCAGTTCTGGAGAACCCTTTCATCCTCAAATAACTTTATTCCATGTGTCCGTCAACGGTCTCGCCACAGTCCGTTAAGGCCGTTCCTCGGGCACGGGCTCGCTCGAATGCGCTCGCCGTACACGGGAACTCCATCACGATCGTGGTGCCAGGTGCCCAGCACGTACTGTTCCACGTGATAAAAACATTCTCGGCTATTATTCCCCACTATTAATGATTCTGTCAGCACCAATGCTGACGCATGTTTGTTTACCTTAAACAATATTATTCTATTTATTGTGGATCGAGAGAATTCCATTTAAAACCATTACTGAGCTCAATCGGGGAGAGTGTCAGATTGAAGATCTGAATGGAGTTCTGCATGTAGAAAAAGTTATACACTGCAACAATTTTTTTTCTTAGGGAATGTGACTGACGCAAACTTTTACACTGGGTGTATCGCTCCGTGGGTTCCACTTGAAATACATTTAACACTGCAAAGAGTGACAAAAGTTTTACCCATTTTGTACTCGTCAAGCATTTGCCCAGTGATGAGTCCTCATAGCCCACGCCAAAGCTATAAACGTCACTTGCAGCATGGTGAGCTGCTGGCATAAGAAGTACTTTGGATCAAGATACTTGTAGATGTTTCCAGAGATAGAACTCGAACTCCCCAGCCGGGCTCAGCTTAGCTTTATGTCATCTTGTAAGTGTTTCATTCTCGCCTTGGACCAGCTTCATCTAAGCCTCCAAACGAGTGAGAAACCTGTCTTCCTTGTTTTGTTTCCCTGCAAGCATTTTTCTCCTCGGATTTTGGCACTGTCTTCATAATGGACTCTAGCCATGGAGAAACCAAGAAGAATAAACCTGACTTGTGATAGACACGAAAAACTGGGCACTTCCTTCTCGACGCGGGATCATGAGAAAATGGTGTTCGATCCACGTTCACCGCAATCTCATCTGTCCTAGTGCCATGCAAAGAAGTCAAAGTCTTGACTGGGTAATTGCAATACAATATACATGACAGGCTTGTGATAGACAAGTTTCCATTTCATTATCAAGCAAAATAGTAATAAATGCACGGATGCCAGATCCACGTAATTTATGAGACATGGTAACTGGAAGAACACAGCCCAGGCCACAGAAGGCAATGGAGAAAGTACCACGTTGTTGTTGAGAAATACTTCATTGAGAAACATGGTTCGGTGAAGGTGGAGAGACTTGCCCAGTGGTTCTGTTATGGCCATGACTGGTGATTTAGCTTTAGGTGAGTATTTTCTTTTGAATTTTTCTAAGCTCAAGCAAGTTTATCTGTGTAGAGATTGATACTGGCGGAAATGTGTTCCAAAGAGCAAAACGAAGAACAAAAATTTTCAGGGTTCTTTGAAACCAACTTTATATTGTCAAACAGGCTTTCCCAGGAGGATGATGCCCACACTGGTTTGGTCACTTGCTTGGTCACGACCGTTGGTTCGTACCTCTGCGGGGTACAGTTTCCTGACTGTGTTTATGATGAGAAGGTTGACAATGGCCAAGTTTGAAATTGGTTTTCCAGCATCTAGAACCCAGAAAGTTGTGAAAGCGGGACAGGAGCACTTGCAAAGAAGATCCAAATGGAGCATGGCATGCTGTGGTGTACAAAGATTCGTCCATGTATATATGAAAAGGAATGAAAGATGAACGTTCTTGTGGAAATGCTAAGTTGTATAACCAGATGAAGAGAAGTTCCCAGAATACATTGACATATCACTAAATTCTTCCGTGGTAGTCTCCAGTCCATGACTGCTATTGTGACGAGCAAAGTAATCCTGCTCAAGATTAGCCAGCAGTCCTGTCAATGTGCTCAAGACAGTCTAAGAAAAACACATCAATACAATTGCCAAACAATGTATGCCTCTAAGCTCACCTTGATGGACGGCCTTTCACTCTTGTCAAACGCAGCGCATCTCAAGGCTATGGTAGCAAGAGCTAGATATTGCTCCTCAGGGAAGTTCTCGGCTATACGGCTGTCTATCACTGACCTTATCCCTCCGTTTCGAAGCCTGGGTTTCACCTGCAATACGTACTGTTAACATTGCAAAGAGTGGCAAAAGTTTTACCCATTCTATGAGATTGAACTCTTCGGGCCTCTTTTGGTCGATGGCTTTCTGTCCAGTGACGAGTTCTAGCAGCACCACACCGAAGCTGTAAACATCGCTCGCAGTGGTAAGCTGCCGACGTAAGAAATACTCTGGATCAAGATACCTGTGAACATAGATGTTTCCACCTCTCAAACAAAAGTTTGAAGAAAACTTACCCAGCTGTGCCAGCAGGTTTTGTGGATACGTGAGTGTCAAACTCTGGAGAGACCTTGGATATGCCAAAGTCTGAAATCTTAGCTGTAAGGTTTCCATCCAAGAGAATATTGCTGGGCTTCAAATCTCTATGAATAACTGGAGGATCCTATCATCAAGTCAATCAGAAAAAGAGCAGAGGTCGAAATGAAGACTAAAGTAACTTACTGCGTAAGAGTGAAGGTAATCCAAGCCTTGTGCAACAGCCACAGCAATTGCTAATCGCTGGTAACAATCCAAAAGCTGACCAGAGTATTTTCCTGCAATGAAACAACACGAACAATGAAAAACAAAAAATGATCATAGGTATAAACTATGTTATGATCATTGTACCGAGAAGCCGATCGTGAAGATTGCCATTTTCCATGAATTCATACACCAAAACCTGCAAGGTAATCTTTGAGGCACATTCCAATAAACTGTCTTGAAGCAAGAATTCTACGAACCTGATTTTTTCCGCTTTGGCAAAATCCAAGGAGTCTCACCAGATGTCGGTGGTGAAGCCTGCTAAGCAGCTGGATCTCGTTACGAAACTCTCGCTGGCCTTGCTTGCTCTTCGCAGATGCTTGCTTGATCGCCACAGTTCGACCATCCTCGAGATTTCCACGGTAGACGCGTCCAAATCCTCCACAGCCAACTTCGCATTCCTTTGAGAACCCGGAGGTGGCCTTGGAGATTTGGTCCAGCGAGAACATTTCTATTCCCTGAGGAACCTCCCAGTTCCTGAGAGGCTCGCTCATATCAGATCCACTATCTGCATGGAAGACTATCACGTCTACACCAAAAATAATGTATTGAAGGATCATACCTTGTTCATCATCTCGTTGCTTAACTTGCTTGTGTCTCCAGAGAATAAGCACTGCAATTGAGATGCTGATCGCAGCAAGCGCACCTATGGCAATTCCAGCGATTGCTCCGGAGCCGATTGATCTTGATTTCGAGAAAAGAGGTGGAGGAGCTGGTGTTTGTTCTTCTGGTGGTGGCGGAGGCAATGGTCGTGGAACTATTTGAAGCAAACCAATACATGAAGAATAAAATGCTAGAAAACTTACATATTGCAAAGAAGTCCCGGCATCCAGGTCCATGATGGCACTGCCGACCGTGATCTCTGTAGTTATCGAATGCGTCTTCATCAAAACAGTTGCCACTCACCCTGTATAACTTAGTTACTGGAATCATCCATCATAGTTCATATTAAAGAGCTTACCTGTCTCTAGGATATGGAACTGGCCTTGGGCCAGAAAAATAGTTGCACCTTAGATATCTGGAGAGGAAGGAAAATTTATCAAAACTTTTGAAACTTTCTTAGAAGCGCTTAGATAAACTTACATGTTAGATGGTGTGGCATGATTCAAAAGCCATGTAGGAACATATCCTCTGAGCATATTTGCGTCCAGTCGCCTGTTATCAAAAGCTGGATTGATCTCTAGAGTTCCATAGCAAGAATCTACGAACTTACAGGGATTGCAAGCTCTGCATTTGGCTCCACGAGGCTGGGACTTCGCCAGTTAGATTGTTATTATACAAGTGCCTGAAAGTCGAGAATGAAACAAGCATAGCTTGTATAGAACACTTACAGGAACGTCATGTTTGTAAAGTTTCCTCCCCATTCGGCTGGCAGTGGCCCTTGCAAGCCGCAGTCATGCAAGTTTCTGCAATGAGAGAAAGGCTCCATTATCAATAAAAAGAGTGATCGCAAGATAACAGCAGTGTTAGATTTCTCAGCCGGAGGCCAAGGCTGCTTGGAAGTTCTGCATTGAGTCCAGTACCCCAGAGTGACCTGTGTTGGAAACAACTTGGTAACAATGGAAGTTCCACCAAGAAACGACACTCACAGCTCATTTAGTCGCGAAAGCCTTCCAACCGTATCTAGAACAGTTCCTGTGAGATTGTTGCTGTTTAAGTGCCTATAAAAAAAATCAAAACGCTGTTATATTTGCTCCAGAATGGGAGTAGACTTACAAAGTGTGAAGAGAGGAAAGGCTTGAAATCTCGTCTGGCAAAGCTCCTGTCAGGTTACAACCTCCCAAACGTCTAGCAAAAACAATGATCATGCATGGTTGACTAAAATATATAACTATCTTCAGACACTCGAACTTACAATTCAAGGAGACCCCTAATCTCCAAAACCGGTCTCGGAAAACTTCCTTGAAGTGGATTTCCAGATAAGTTCCTGATAAGTTCTCTCAAGCCTAGCAAAAGAAGACGAAGTTTGTTGCTGTAAACTTACAGTGATCTCAATGTAGACAATCTCGACAAGGACTCTGGCACGGGCCCCGTAATGTTGTTCTCCTGGAGGTCAAGATCTGCCAGCGTTGTGATGTTTCCCAGCTCATCTGGAAAGCTTCCGATCAAGCCAAACCCTGTCAAGTTCCTGATATACAAACACAACACACCAATCACAAAGGGAATGAAAGTTTCCAAAACTTACAGAGCTGTAACACTGTTTCCAGTACATCCGACGCCATTCCAGAGAGGATTGCAAGGATCGGATCCAGCCCAAGAAGAGAGATTTGCATTTGAAGGACCCAGCTGCTGCTTGATAGAGAGGAGAGCATCCGCTAGAGAAGGAAGAAGACCCACATTTAGCAAAGAACGAGTGGATTCATACATTGGAATTCTACCATCAGAATTTGCACTACACAGTCTTAGCAGCATCCAAAGAACAAGAGTGACCCCCCAGCCTGCCATATTCAAGGCGCTTAGAGAGCTATGGACCGAGACCCGAAAGGGCTTTCCAATTCGAAAATCGGGTAAAACAAAAATGCTTGACCAAGCAAGTCAAACTTATACTATTATCTCTTACTCACGTGTTTACACGAAGCCGCCGGAGAAAAAGACCTAGGATCACTACCAAACTTCTCCTTTGCCTCGGCGGGCCCGTAATCGACGTGGAAAATTTGTGGCCACTGCAACAATCGCGAGCCTCCAACACAGAGGCGAAAAGACAAGAAACTCTTACCTGTGGCCATGGATTCCCCAGTGCACGAGTTGCAGGAGGCTGAGGAAGTAGCTCCAGATTTACAACGCTCGTGCAGCCGTGGCGGACCACAGTACCGATGCAATCTGTGCCTGTATGGCCTCCTCCTATCACCACCACTTTCTTGTCTTTGGCAGATATGTAGTTGTTGTCCTTGAGCCAAATCCAGCAAACTCTTGGTATTCGTGTGAAGGAACTCCATGGCAAAACGTATGCCATCATATTCTCGGCCTTCTACTTTAAGGTCCCTGAAGAAAAACAAATAAAAAGATGGTTAGATCTGAAACAAGTGGAGAAAAGCAAGACTTGCAAGTAGTAAGCTATCATAGTCGGACATTAACCTCTCCACCGAGAATAACTTGTCAACTCCGACATTCGCATTAACAATGAACTCGATCCCTGCGGCAGCCATCAGGTTCACTCGCTGGTGAACGACCTCCACTTTGTCGGTCTTCATGTTTGGCACACCGTACATCATGAGGCCTCCAATTCTATCCACTCTCTCAAACACTGTCACAGAGTGGCCGGCCTTACTGAGCTGATCAGCGGCCGCTAGGCGTGCCATACCGCTACCTACAATCACCACTCTCTTCCTGCAAAGAGACAACGACGTGAGAAACCAACGACGTGAGTAAACCTTGTCTCTACATACCCGGTCCGATAAGCTGGTGGACAATCCAGCCTTCCTCAAAAGCTTTGTCGATGATGGTACACTCTATCGTCTTAATGGACATCGGGTTCTCTATAATTCCCAGAACACAAGCACCCTCGCAAGGAGCAAGGCACACACGTCTTATGAACTCTGGAAAGTTGTTGGTTTCCAGGAGCCTATCCAAGGCTTCCCGCCAACGACCTTGGTGAACAAGCTCGTTCCATTCCGGAATCTTGTTTCCAATGTCATCCCGCAGGTCAACAGAGATGAATAAATAACATAGCTGAACTGGACATACCTGGTTGCAGTTCTAATGGAGTGCCGCGCGGACTGGGTTTTAAGGAGGTTATCGCAAGGACCTCGTTCCAATGGGCCGGGCGATATGGAAGTGTTTCTCGTTCATACGAGATAAATCCCGATGTTTCACTGCGTCCGGAATTCTTGTTGGCCGCGCTTGGGCCTGAGTCTGACCACAAAGCGAACACGTCAGAGTTGCAGGCCAGATAATCATTCAATTCTACCGCGACTACTGCAGCCGCTCCTCCGTCAGCCATTTTCTTCGAGAGCTGTTTTGTAGTCGCAGGGGAAAACTTTCACGAATTCGTAATTGGCCTGCAGATGCATATGTTTGTTATGGTAAATGGTTGGATAACATATAGAAAGATCGAAATACCTCCCAGTTAAGCTGGTTATTTTCCACACATGCGAGGGACTCCATCGCCACTCCATTCAATCCTTTCTTCGCAGAGAGCAGCCACAGCTTTCACATACAGTGCGTGCTCCTGTCGGTAGCAAATCCCATTCAAAAACCAATCGAAACTAAAGAACAATCAAACCACGTACTTGTTCCAACACTCTGGCTGCCAAGTCTTCCGTCTCTAGAACAGGAACTTCTTGCTGCGCGAGAATGCTCCCATTCTCACAAAATGGATCGTTGCGCTTGAGACACTGTTACAAAGTTGTTGCAAGCAATTAGAGCTCGTGCGGTGAAAGATAGAATTTACCGAGAGCCGACAGCCTCGTGGACTTTGATTCCGTAGAAACCTTTGCCTCCAAAAGCCGAGAGAAGCATCAGGTGAATGTTGAGGATCGCTCGAGGAAACGCTTCCACGAGTTCTTTTGGTATCAACTTAAAGTAGCCGGCCAGCAGACGAAATCCACTCCTTGATGCCTCAGATAATGTTAAATCTTCTAGGGAAAGAAAAGCATGAAACCAGCCGCAGAACTGTCCTGCATTCTAAATCCAGGACAAAAGAATGAAACTCTAGCTGGATTGCTATGGATTCTAGCCATGGAGAAAAACTAACCTGGCTTGTCCGAGACAACGGTCACCATCGGTCGTCGCTCTGTGGATGCTCCGAAAGTTTGATCCGCCGGTGGACACGAAAACAGCCAGGCGCTTCCTCGTTGTCGTCCAGTGTGTAATCCGTATAGAGCACTCACCACTTCGATTGTGGCGAGTACTCTTGTGGAGCAGGACAGGAAAACCTAAGAAGAGCCTACGGAAATGCTAGAGAACTTTAAAGGTTAAATAATAAAAATCTCTGTTGACAAAAGTATGGACAAAGCTTTATTGCCTCCACCAGAGAGCTTCCCACAGCCACAAGTACCTGTAGTTCTAAGTTATCATGTTCCGTCACCATACTAGCCACGAGCTCCATATCAGAAGAATACAACACAGTAGTATGCACCAACAAGTATATGCTGGCTGCGTGATTGGAATTGGAGTGCATAGAACAGGGAATGTGGCTTAAGCGTTAGGTCTCCATTTGGCCATGGAGAAAATCAGCTAAGCCGAAAAGTGTGGCGCTGATCGAGCAGCTCGGCTTGAAATCGGTGAGTTCTGCTAGTTTAAACAAAACTGGTACTTAAAATTATAAACTCAACTGATTACTCAACGCATAAACAAGATTTGCCTTTAATCTTCTTTTAATTATATCATTATTAACTATCGCTAATGTAGCATTTAATACTAGATATTCTAGGAATATTTTGTACACAAAAATTAAAATAAATAAAAAATTGTTCTACCTTCCTTTTATACTAGCTAGCTCCGCACTACAAAAGAAACATGAGACTCACTAAAACAACAATGCAGAGAACTCTGCTGCCAACCTCATGTGCGTTGTTAATTAAAGGGGGACATTCACAGTGCAACAAAAACGCTCAAGGATCAAGCGCCAGTAAGCTGCGCTGCTCTCAGAGAAGTAACTGAATCATTCACTTTCCTCCGTCTTTTCTTGAAAATCTCAGGCTGGCTGCACAACATGTCGTTAAAATAGCGAATAAAACTGTGACAAAAAGTGCACCTGTGGCCATCAGTACTGTCCTCAGCACTTCTTCTGCACACAAAAGAGGGCTGCATTAACACTGTTATGAACAAAAAGTTAAATTACCTTCGGTGGTGGGCACCCCTCTTGCTCTTGGAAACCTGCCTCACCAAGACACCCGTAGTTGGCAACAACCATGCCAATACGAGCCTCCGTGTTGCCTTCATCGCCTCCCCTCCATTCTCCATGAACAAGACAACTGCAAGTCAAGACTGGTAATGTTATGAGCTATTCTTGGCTCATAACTAGTACGGATGCGGGACGACAGGGGATCCATACGAGACATATATGGTCCGACTGGCGCAAAGCGGGAGGGTAGGTTTTCGTTGTTCTCTTCTTCTTCTTCCAGGCCTTGAGCCTTTTCTCTTCTCTTGTTTCTCATGTGAATCACTCATTAATGGATCACATCCTTTTTGATTGGATTCTCATCCTAACATTTGGTATCAGAGCATTGATCAGGACCTTGGCAAAGATCATTCGGGATATCGCATCGTGGGAGAGAGGTTTGGTCCACGTCCTTAGCTCCACGGCATTCGCCCGATCTAGGGTACAGCTGTCTCAGCAGGGCATCCGACAGGAGGTGTTTGCGGCGGCGATCATTTACCCTAGGCTGCCGTGGGCGATCTGGGCTTGGGCGAGAGCAAGGCGCCAGAAAGAAGCAATGCCACCATGGAACAAAGGAAAAAAAGAGGTGAAATCTTCCCCGTCAGCCGATGGAGAATCCAGCAATGTTGAGGTGGTCGATCCAGTGAATTCTCCACAGGTAGTGCCTAAGCCGGTTGGTGAGTTGAGGGAGGTGTTGCAGTCTTTCATGCAACGCTATGTGACGAATCATCAGCAGGACTTGGAGAGGTTCCAACAATTGCAGCATACCTTGGCCATCATCGAGCACAATCAGGCCACTATGGGTGGCAAGATAGAGGAGCTGGGGGAGCAGCAGCGGGTTTTGACAGAGAAGCAAGAACAGATGGGGTCTAGGGTCAAGGATCGAGGAGACCCTGATCTGAAAGACATTGTGCACCGGTTTTCTGACGAAGATTGGTTCCAAGATTCGAGTCCTGAATTACCCCCAACAGGTGATCGACCTTGGTATGATGACTTGCTGGAGAAGATGAAGTCACCAGTTCCAGAAGGAGGGGCCAAGGGGATACTCGGGAGGGGTCCAGGGATGGGGTCACGGTGGCAGGATCGGGAGAAGCTCAATATACTGGAGTACGATGGCTCAAATGATCGGCTAAGACTTCAAGATTGGCTCCGCAAGCTGGAGTGGTGTTTTGTGTGGCAAGATACCAAGGGAGTGGATAAGGTTCCCTTTGCATCAATCTTCTTGAAGGATCTGGCATCTGAGTGGTTTCATAACTTGGAACGAGCTCGCATATTTCTGGACTGGGAACAGTTCAAAGTCTTGATCACAGACACTTTCATCCTGACCCCAGTTTTGGAGCTGCCCTTCAACAAGTTGTGCGACCTTCGCTATGATTGGCAACATCAAACTCTCCAGGCATTCAATACAGGATGGTTACGGGCCAGATATGAGGTAGTGGGAGTTTCAGACGAGATTTTGGCCCAGCGTTACGTAGCAGCGCTGCCCTCATCAATGGCAGGTGATGTTGCTCAAACCAAACCAGTTTCTGTGCGTCAGGCAATGGTGGCAGCATTGAATGCAGACCAGCGGTTTCGTGAATGGGAGTCTCGATTGCGTCGTCCTGATATAAGCAGGCTTCATCGTCAGGATTTCCCAGCTGCATCACCGACCCCTACGCCGACAGTGTTGCCGACAGTGAACAGTGATAAGGAACGCAAGCCTTGGCGAGATCTATCCACTCAGGAACGGGCCAAACGCTCAGAGGATTTGAAGCTAGGCAAATGCTTTGATTGTGGGCAGAAATGGACTCGAGGCCACCATTTGGTTTGCCCATCTCGGAAGGGTGCTACAGTTCCCAAGGCAAAGGTGGCGATGCTACATTTTTGCGAGGCTGCTTCTGGGGAATTTGTTCCAGTCGACATGGACACGGTTGATGAGAGTGAGGAGATCTTTGTTTGGGAATCAGGGAACAACAGCCCGGGCTTGGAGGACCCGGACAGCTCAGGTGGCAAGGCATTTATCTCCTGCTCAGCATATTTTGGAAAGACTGGTCCGCAGTGTTTCCGGGTGCGGGGAACAATTAATGGCAGAGTGGCATTCGGCCTGGTTGACTCTGGCGCCTCACACACGTTTGTGAATCGGCGGAGTTTATCACAGCTGAAGCTCCTTCCGTTGCATACCAACAATCTTTTGAATGTCGAGATTGCGGATGGAGGGATGGTGGAATCATCTCAAGTGGTGGATTGTGCATTTGTGGTTGGGGAGTACACAGTGAAGGGTTGGTTCCATGTGCTGGATATGGGTGCAGTGGACGTAGTCATCGGGGTGGAGACTCTCCAACAGCTTGGGGATATCATGGTGAACTTCCAGGAGCAACCATGATAACGTCTCAGCTTCAATAACAACGGCAAGAGGGTCACTTGGGCGGGTATCGAGGTTCCCCAGGACTGCTCAACAGTGTCTTACGCCCAGTGTGCTCGGATGTGTGGGAAGGGCGCAATCGCCGTACCAGTTGAAGCTGGAGACCAAACAGAAAGGTTGCAAAAGGTTGAGAGAGATGAGATGATGCAGTGCAGAGTGGCTGATAGCAAGAATTCAGTCGCTCAGCAGGAGGAGTTTCATGAGCTTCAACAAGATATTCTCAGGTTGATGATTCCAGGGGATTTGCGTGAGGTTCTCCTCCGTCATCTACCAGTTTTCAGACACCAAGTTTCTTTGTTGGTGTCATCTAGAACAGGTGTGGAACATTCCATTGTTCTAGAGGGCAACTCCATTCCAGTTACTCGTCCATTTTTGAGATTATCACGGGAGGAATGTCAAGAGGTTGACAGGATGACAGATGAGCTTCTCCAGCAGGGACTGATAGAGCCGAGTTCTAGTCCATTTGCGGCTCCCATTTTGCTGGTTCTGAAAAAAGATGGTGGTTGGCGACTGTGTGTGGACTACAGAGCACTGAACAGAATCACAGTCAAAAACAGGTTTCCTATTCCGAGGGTGGAGGAATTGATGGATGAGCTTGGGGGAGCCTGTTTCTTCACAAAGCTGGATTTGAGATCGGGGTATTATCAAATCAATGTGGTGGAACGTGATCGTCACAAAACTGCATTCAGGACACACAGGGGTCTTTTCCAGTTTAAGGTGATGCCCTTTGGGCTCACTAATGCACCAGCCACATTTCAAGCTGCCATGAACAAGGTGTTGGGACGGTTCTTGTTCAACTTTGTGGTGGTGTTCTTCGATGACATCTTGATCTTCAGCCGAACTTGGAAGCTGCACCTCAATCACGTGGAACAGGTACTGCAAGCGTTGGAGGAAGCAGGAATGGTGTGCAAGCTCGCAAAGTGTTCTTTTGGTGCTGTGGAAGTGGACTACCTGGGATTTAAGGTGGCTGAGGGACAGGTGATGGCGGATCCAAACAAGTTAGAGGCTGTTGCTGACTGGCCGATACCACAAACCATGAAACAGCTTCGGGCCTTCTTGGGATTTGCCAACTATTTGCGGAAGTTTGTTAAGCATTTTGCTTCAGTAGCTGCTCCTCTCACAGATCTCCTCAGGTCGACACAATTCTGTTGGGATGTTAGGGCCCAGCAGGCGTTCATGAATCTCAAGCAATGAATTGTGGAGGCTCTGGTTCTGGTGTTGCCAGATTTTTCAAAGGAATTCACAGTAGACTAATGCATCAGACCAAGGAGTGGGAGGAGTTTTACTCCAGCAGCATGGCATTGTTGCTTTTGAGAGCCGCCGGTTTACGGAGATTGAATCCAGAGCTCCAGTATACGAACAGGAAATGGCAGGTGTTATGCATGCTGTTCGTCGATGGAAGCATTATTTGGCTTTCCGTCATTTTCGGCTTCACACTGATCATGTGAGCATTCGGTTTTTGCTCACTCAACCCCACCTCAACAAGAAGCAGATGCGTTGGGTGGACGAACTTCAAGCCTTTGACTTCACTATCGAGTATCGACCAGGTGCTTCCAATGTACTTCAGATGCTCTTTCACGGAAGTTTGCACGCACCGAGGAGTCAGCTCTCTATGGGATTTCTCGCCTGCAACCGGAGTACGTAGAGCAGATTCGGGAGGGGTACGCACAAGATGTGGCCCTTCAACAGATTCTAGAGCAGCTTCAGAATGGGGAGCAGCATCCCAAGCTAGTCCTCATTGATGGCATTCTCTGGTCAAAGGGACGGGTGTTTCTCAACAACAAGCATCCATTGCGACAAGAAATTTTCCGTGAGTGTCATCAGGGAATTCTTGCTGGACATCCCGGGGTGGCAGCAACATTGGCGGCAATCAAGCTTCACTTTGTTTGGAAAGGCATGCAGCGAGAAGTGAAGGCGTGGATTCAAGAATGTCCGGTATGTCAGGTGGTAAAGACAGAGACAGTGGCTTCTCCAGGTCTTCTCCAGCCATTACCAGTTGCAGATGGTCCCTTTACTAGCATTTCCATGGACTTTGTGGGGGGTCTGCCTCGTTGCCAAGGAAAAGACATGATAATGGTGGTGGTTGACCGTTTCAGCAAGACAGCTCGGTTTCTGCCAACGACAAGTTCAGTGTCTGCAGCAGGGATAGCCGAGTTGTTTTCTCGAGAAGTGATTTGCTTCCATGGTCTGCCTCGGGAGATTGTTTCTGACCGGGATCCGAAGTTCCTCAGCTTGTTCTAGCGTCACCTTTTTTCAGCTCTTGGGACCAAGCTCAGCTTCAGTTCAGCGTATCATCCCCAATCGGATGGGCAGACAGAACGAACCAACCAGACAATGGAGGTATTTCTCAGAGGTTACACACTAGATCGTCTTACATCATGGCTGCACTGGCTCCCATATGCAGAATTTGCATATAATTCGGCCTGTCATTTTGCTACAGGGTTTGCTCCTTTGGAGATTCTCTATGGGCGTCGAATCCTATGTTGGCCAGCTCCCGCACTTCCGGTCCCAGAGGTGACAGTTTCTGGACATCTAGAGACCATTCGGGAGTTGCATCAACAAGTTCATAGCAGGTTGGAGGCAGCTCGTGCAACCATGAAACTTCAAGCTGACAAGCATCGGAGTTTTCGAACATTCACTATTGGCGACCTGGTGTACATCAAGTTCCGACCCCATCGTCACACTCTAGGCTGTCGAGCGGGCTCTCGATCCAAGCTGACTCAATGCAAGCTCTATTTCGTTAAAGTGGGATTTATTCAGTAAAATGGGACTAGGTACAAATTTTCAAGTATTTGAAAATGACGTGAAATTATATGTTTTTTGTCCAGGGGCTAGACATATCTGGGGCATGGTGACTAGCGCGGTGACTTTATGTCCAAACTGAGTCCATCTGGTTGTATAATAAATCTCATTGTCAAGGTGAACAAGCCGAATCTAAAGCTAAAGAAGAGTGATGGCATGCGCGCACACACTATTTGTTTGTTCATTGAGCGTGTGGTGAGCTTTCCAAGATGAACGTCATTCCTATTAGCCAGACTTATAACTTAATGGTGAGAACATTTAGATATTATTCAATGTTATCTTTTTCTAACGAATCTAATTGTGAAGGTGTAGCAAGAGGCATTGCTAGTCTGGAGAAGTCATTTAACTCATTTGACCCTTAGTGTATTTTCATGAAACTAAATAACATTCATATTATTAAGGAATTTCTCTAGTACCTTTTTTTTACGACATAGAGGCTTGCATTTCTTTCAAAGGTGATTTAGTAAAAGGCCTGAGGGCACATGCCATTCTATTTCTCAGACCGGTATTAAGATATACTAGTGCAAAGGGAAAAAGGTATTTGGTGATCAAGTAAATGGCATGAGGGCACACGCCATTATAAGCCTAAGCGCTAGTGGACACCTCCTTTTTGGTACTCTCAGCGGTACTATCATCCTTCTCCGGGTCAGTTGTTTTGCTTTGGATTGTTGTCTCTGACGTTACTGGGGCGTTCTCGATAGTTGTTAATGTTGCCGTTTGTTCAGAAAAATGATCACCTGGAGTATAGTACGGGGAGTTTGGAAGACTTATATATTCTACATCTTCAGTTATCTCCTTCTCCGTCTCCTTTTCTGCCTCACTTACAGATTTTGTGCTTGCCATGAGAACGCTCTTCACCCTAAAATATGGAGTTCGTTGTGTTATAAAAGGAAACCAACACACACACTGCAAGGGAATGATGGTACATAAAGCACGTAAGCCCACAATATGGGTTTATGTGCCATTAATATGGGCCACACGCCATATTATTAGATTTATGCATGTGTGATTGGTAAATGCATATGTCACATCATCTTTGTTTTACCTCACACACTATATCAGGCCTAATGAACCATATCACATGTGCGCACATGCTATATATATGGAGAAGTATTATGCAAGGATAGAAATTCAATGCATGATTGTGAAGAGCAATGGCATGAAGCCACATGCTAAATAACATTTTAGAGAAAGAATTAAAATAAAAACATGCAAACAGTACTAAGTGGACCAAGACTTAGAAGTGCACAATTGAATGAGGTATTTCTAATAAATACTTCACTCACCTCATATAGGAATGGCTACCACTCTCAAATGGCATATCGCCTCATGCCATCACCTCGCAATTTGTTATAACAATCCGATGAATTCATATTCGGCTTGTTCACCTTGAACTTTAAGTAAGATTTGCTAGAACAACTAAGAATTTATACTTGTTATTTGTATCATCTCACCTAGGAATGGCGTAAGGCCACATGCCATCACGCCTCCTCTGATTCAGATTCGAATTGTTCACCTTGAAATAAAATACATTAGAAACTTAGTAATGGAATATTCATGAATCTCACCTTGAACCCGGGTTATGAATGCTCTTGCTACATCTCTTGCATGGTCTGGCAAGGTGATGGTGGCACTCTGCTTCCGCATCCAACCATGCACAACATTATCCACCGATATGCTCATGCTGGGATCCCTTGGATTCAGCACCCATCTCTTTTCTAGGCAATCCTTCGTATATCCGGAACTTGGCTTGAACCACTCCACAGTTACATTGAAGGAGTTAGTTTCCGCATCCTCCTCTGCATCAGTGATGCAGCGCCCCACCCATATCATTTGTTTTTTATTACTGGGTCTGACAAGCACGACCATTCCTTTGCAGACCTGTACTGGATTGAATGCTGAATCCGGCTTCTTGTTCCTCGGCCCACAATAGTGATCCTCAACATCGTTATCTGTCACTGCATTTCCAGAGGACATTGTTCCGCTACTATCTGGTGCTCTGGGTTCTGGCCAAAATGACTCTTCCAATTCTTCATATACAACCGGCCCATTTTGGATAGCAGATATAATCTTCTCCCAGTATTCGAGCAAAGGCTTGCACCTCTGAAAATAGGATTCTCCACCAAACACCAACCCCCTCTTCCAGAAGGCAATATGCTGTCTAATCCCGGCCACTATACTTTCCTGGTCTTTGAGTCCATCTGGGTGCATCGGCCGTGGGGAACCCTGAGGAATCATAGGTTCCCCAGTTATGGGATCTCTCTTGAAGAGTTCAATGCCGTCCACTGGCAGCCACACTGTGTCCCATTCTCTCATCTTGTATCTCATTACTGGAGCACCGTCACACATACTGAAATGAAGCTGAAGAGGCTTGGAGTGGCCAATCAGCGTTTCAGATCCGTCCTTGATGTAGCCTCTTACAAACCCCTTAAAGTCTGGAACCTCTGTCAGAAGTGCAGCTTCAATAGTGCCTTTGATGCAATTTTGGAATTCATCGTAGAGTTGTGGGAGGGTGAGGACATTGGATCGCCGGAGGGACTCTGCCAGGTGACTGAACATGGCATCAACGTCTTCATGAGTGTGCCCAACCATGAGAAAGCCAAGTGTAACCGTTTCAAATATGCCTTTGGCAACAAGCATCGCCAAGTACGCGAAGACGTACATGTTTTTGTTCTCACTGCCAGCATTGTCTGTTTGGAGCAGAAGATGGGGTGGAAGGCCACATCGGCCGCAAGAACTTCCTTGAGATTCTACTTCGTTTGGATGAGGCTGTGCATTCACCGGGTGACCAGCCTCGTCGGAATGGCATGAGGCCTCACGTGATAACCCTACAATCTGACGGCCAACATATTCACTGGGATGGCATGGGGCCCCACGCGATACTGCAAGCCTTTGCTCCTCCTCCAGCTGAACCCTGTATGGGGTTCGATCGACAAGGGCCTTATGCAAGGGTTGGCCGTTCAGCTCAGTCTGCGCACTTTGCAGAGACCTTAAGTGTTTTGCTAGGGACGCAATCATCATGTTCGCACCCCCGCCACCCCATAGAGGTACAAAGAAGTTCCCATAGTTCTGGGCACCATGCCCATGAGCGATTATGCCAAACAGAGACACAGGCAGTTGCATGGATGAAGAGATTGCCTTGGGGGCAGGATTGAGTCGAGGTAAGCACGTCTTTTTCTGGTCCATTTTGTCGTGGATGATGCAGAGGTAAGAGTCAGGTCTCTCCATGGAGAGAATCTTGTTATGATAATATGCAGTCCTGCAGCTTCTCTGCTCGATGTTGTGGTCGAGCCGCCTTCTAACCAACGTCTCTCGCTCTTGAGCGGTGCAAGAATTCTTCGACAAAGCCATTTTGATAGCAGTGCACTCGTCACACTTTGAAAAGTTGGAGTACTTTCCTATACTCACATCCCTGAACCCGTTGCTCCACAATCTACTAAATCTAGATTGGCTCAGCTTCCTGTAGCCATTACTCTGGAGTTCCCGATTCACATCTTCCAATATGGCCCCCTTGGTATACATGGAAGGGAGAACTCGTTGGGTGTCTCGTGTTCCATCTTCCAAGAGGCGGGTTTTATGTGGTTGCTGCTCGCTACATGTTTCGACAAACCTCTTGAAGATTGCCTCTCCATATACAACATGACCCCTGGTTTTGTGCGCACCGTCGTTCCCATGGACTGCCTGTTGAACCCTTTGTTCCTCGAACTCAGTTTTGATTCTGTAGAATGTGGTTCGAGGGACTCCATAAATGATTCTCTATGCCTTCATGCAGACCAAACCCTTCTGGAAGACCATGCCCCCCACCTGATATTCTGAAGCATCAACAGATGACCGTAATGCCTCATACACAAAATTGCGAGCTGCCTTCCAGGACAATGTCTTGTATCTTGCTCTCTCCTCTTCAATAGCATCCCAATCAGCATGTTGACAGCACCTCCTCTTGCAACAAGCAACTGTCGAGACCATTCGAACCTCCATCGCCATTTTCTGCTTTTTCGGTTCGTTGCTTAGATCCCTTTGGCTGCGCTTTAGGAAGGTGTACTTTCTTTTCCCATGAAGAGATGTTCTGTCATCAGTTGTAGTGGTGTTTGATTGTGAATCCTTCACATTCTCAAACACTAAGTGCCTCAATTTCCACCGCACAATGCTTCCAATAGTCAGACTGTTTTCTTTTGTGTCAACAACCTCTAAAATCGCAACTCCAATATCATCCCAGCCCAATTCTTGATTAGCAACCGCATCTCTTGGATCGACAACTGTGGCTAAGCCCTCAGCTACCACCTCCCCTTCGGGGTTGTTTAGAAACACCTTCGCCTGAATCCATGTAGCACGGTTCTTAAGATCCACGGAGGGAACATGCGTCGCACTTGCGCTGTCCCCAACATCTGCTTTCTTCTGAAGATTTTTCAAGGCAACAACAACATTTACCCCGACGACCATCTCTCCTCGTTCAATAGCGACCACATTCCCATCGAAGACAGTCTCTACTGATACAGCAGCATTGCCTTCCCCAAGCTTTTGACAGTGTATAACAAAGTTCCAATCCATAGACACAAGGGTCCCTTTTGCAACTCTCTTCCCACCATTCAAAATGTAAACCTTTTCCCCAACCCTGAAGGCCATTCTGAAAGTGCAGAAAAGAAGTTAAGACCATAAAAAAAATGATTGGAGAATGGCCTAAATCATAACATACCAAACAACCTCAATAGCATGAGGCCGCCATTATTCAAACATGCTATTGACACCCACGTGAAATTTCGCATTCACAAAATTGGCATGAGGCCTCATGCCATCTTGATATACACACAGCTGCAGGCAAGTAAAAACATACATGACAATACGCTAGCCATGAAATTGCAAGGGCCCAAGATGGCATGTGGCCTCATGCCATTTCTAAATGTGGTCCTAAGCCATTCCATGGTGAACATACCAGGAAGCACAAG